AGCCCCTGTAATTACCGACTTCCTGGCGAATCCCGGCGCAGAGAGGGGACGCGATATAGATAAAGAACAGAGGGAAGGGAGCGGCAATTCTAAGAGAGAGCGAGAGAGAAAGGAACTTAATGATTGCTACGTTTTGCGCGTGCATTGGTGCCGTGCGTGAGCCCCGAGAATGAATCGTGCAATTGCCGCGGCCACAAAATTGCCGCCCCTTTCTTCCCCTTTTGCCAACAAAGAGGGAACGCAACCCCCGTCGACTCTCGCCTACGGGTATAAGATATCCCCTCGAGTAACTTTTAAGGATCCGTATTCCCGAGTATGTACGGCGCGCGTTAAAAGTAATTTTCTTCTCGTTCGAATGCGCAATTAGCGGTAATTACCAAAATATCATGTCAACGCTTTTTTTTGTGCGCACTCAATAATAAATTTTTTTTTTTTATCAATTTCTGAATCATATACTTTCTGTGAAATATATTCTATTTCTTTCTCCGATTCACTAGTACCGTTAAATCTCTCTTTCAAGAATCTCTCAAAGTTTAGTATCACGACATCAGCAAATTATATAGTCCCCAAAATCTTTCACTGGCCCCCTCTCTATCTGCCTGTCAATGTCAGCTGTCCGCTTCTCCGTGTACATGTCGCGCCTTATTCGTTGTGCAAATGTATCATCGGAGTTAACCGCTTGACACTCTGCGAAAGTGCGAGCGAATCGCGATTGCCGATCGGAAACGCACGATGGAACGCAAGCAAGAAGCAGCAAGAGCACTATGATTAATTGCGTCGCGTCACGTTCAAGTTTTCGTGATCAAAGTGTGTTCGGGTGTAAATAACGACAGAGTAATTTCTCGTGGAATCAAAATTAACCGACGAGAGCGTTAATAAAATAATCCTCGCGAAACGATACCCGCACCATTATGCACGCGTAATCTTTAATCAGCTTACAGCACAATTAAATTCGTAATTTCGTGTATTTCTGAAAAGAATCGCCAATTGCCGCGTTGTACTTTCGGCACAACACACACATCCCGGGATGGCGGAAATAGCAGGTGGAACGGCGGTAATAACTCGCGCGAAATAATTCACGATCGATTCCGGAACAAAGATCTTTTCGCGCCGCGATGCTGGCGCAGCGGATACGCGCTTGCATCGAAAGATTTATTCGTTTCACGAGCCGTTCAATACAACGCGGCGGAATGAGAAATTTTTGCGTTCGCGTGGCACAACGTGAACGCGGAAACGTGATCCGGCGTCACGCAAATCCCCGCACAGGCACGATGCCTGAATTTCCAGGGGGAGGGTTTACAGTCGGATCAACGCCAGTCGGATGGAATCTTCGATAAGGCAATTTTTTGGTCCGTCCACTCGCGGAGGTACGATTGGCGCGGAAGCGGAAGCGATGATGACGACGACGACGACGATGTTAGCAGCAGCGAATGTCTGGAGTTCCGATTACGGGCTCTATTGTCGACCAGGGAATTAATAATCCACTATCGTGAAAAACCGACCAGCCGGAAACCGAGCATTTTTCGCGCCCGAACGGTGTAGTTAAGGGTTTCCCTCTTACACGCTACACGCAAACGCACTTTTTTACGCTCTTTTAATATTTTTTTAAAATACAATATAAACGTGACAGAGTCACAACTGTAACGAAAAGCTCAATTAAAATGTTTGCGATAATTGGAGCTCTCATTTGCTATATAAAGTAAAATAAAATCTTTCGTAATAACGCATAATAAATTTTTGCTATAATAAATTCTAAATTATTCATATTCGCATATTTAAAAATTCGTGTACCAGTAAATGTATAATTACTGGTATTAAAAAGCAGTTCAAAATTTTGAAACATTTAATAATATACGTCCTGTATCTTTCTTTCCTCAAGACAAAATATATCCCCGAATATCATCCCTCATACAAATTCGTATTCTCGTGGGATGATTGAGGAAATTAAAATTCGAGTTATAACTCGCGTCTCACGTGACTGATCACGCTCGCTCGCGCGCTCACGAATTCCTGGCGTAACAGGAATACGCACACCCTCGTTGCTCACGCACCTAGATACACACACACACACACACATACACACGCAGAGGGGTTCCTAAGAGAATAGAGTTAGCGAGAATACAGTTGGCGGCCCTGCCACGGGCAAGTCGGCAACGTGGAACGAACGAGCCGAGCGGTGCGCGATCAATAACACGTGTGTACGCAACGACACACACCCCCGCACGCACTTTTACATTCACGCCGGCGGCGGCCCGCTCCCCTCTCAACCCCCTTCTACCCCCACCACTCCGTAAACCCAAACGATCCACACGACCACCACCACTAACGGTGCCACCACCACCGACGCGGCGGCTTCAACCCCTCTTCTGGCGTGCCGCCACCAGACGCGAAGGCTACCCCCGTGCATTACACTTTACACACGCGTGTATATATATATATATATATATATATATATATATATATATATATATACACGCGCGCACACGCGCCGCCGCGAGCGAGCGTCCGCGCATATATACGCACGCACACAGACGTATGCGGCAGTCCGGCGGACGTACAAACGCGGAAACGCGTCCGCAGGGAACGGGAACGTGTAATTGTGTAAATGGCACAATGGCCGACGGTCCCTCGTTAGAGAGCCCCGCCGTGGAAACAAGATTCTGATTAACGCTCGAATTTTATCATTCAGCAGCCGCACTGTTTACTCGCTGCGCCGCCGTCCGTCGTTTCCCTTGCTCGCGCGGGAAATCGCCGTCACTGCGCGACCGCGAAAGCTCTCTCTCTCTCTCTTTTCTCTCTTCGCTCTGATTATTTACTTCTTGTTTTTTGCTTTTAAGTGCATGGCTTTCGTTTCCACCGATTTATTGACGTGTCATCAGCCGTCGCTTTTTCTATTCGATAATTCGAAACAATATCTATAGATTCATTTTCGTATATCGTAATGATTCCATTATTAATTTTTAATTTCTCTATTGATGGAAATTGATTATGGTATATTGTAAAAATAAGCACATATTAATTGGAAAATAATTACTTAATTAGAATATATATTAAATGTATTTTTTATATTATAATAATCGTAAAGAGATTAACGAAAACTACTCTAGCTTTAATATCTTCTGTTAACGACTACTTCTAGCACGCGTATGTCGTGTTTATCCTCCTCGCTCTACGTCCGACAATCTACAAGCTTCGGTTATTCTCCTGTCGATCCTATAATGCGTATCACGAGGAGTGATCGTGTACATAATCTCGCAGTTTCGCTCTTGCGGTTTCCGCACCATGTTCGACGTAATTCCGATATCACAAGCAGTCGTGGACATTTTCCATTCCGATATCAATATATCCCAACGTAAAGAGAATACTTTCTTTTGCTATTTATATAATAAATTAGATCTTGACAAATTCACAATTAGCTCTACATTAGACACAATTTCAGTAGTATACGTTAATGTGTTAAAATTAATATAGAAATATATCTTTACAAACGCAGAAGAATAAAGAAAATTTTCAAAAATTAATAAAAATAAATTAATAATTTTAATTAGTAATATTATAGTAATATTTTCTTTAGTGATAATTACATATCACTTTCTATTTTATTGATCAATTAATGGATTATATATTAATTAGTAATATTATAGTAATTATAGTGATATTTAATAATGTTTTCTAATAATTACATATCACTTTCTATTTTATTGATCAATTAATGAATTATCTCATCTTCGTGTAGCAAAAGATCTCCATCATGTTCTACCTGCTCCGAATTTCCCCGTAGCATATTTTCACAGAGAGAGAAATACCTTGATTTTCTCTCGCACTGCCGCCAAAATTAAAAATTACTTGCGCAAACGGACAACGCGTTGTGAATAAAAATCATGTTTGTGCGCGCGATTGCATGCGCTCGGGCGTCTGCACAGGAAACGCAACGGAGAAAAGCGGAAACGTGGTTACACCGGTGGGGAATCCTTTTATGGGAACGGCATGAGAATACTTCTCGGAGAAAATCCATTGGTTAGATGAGTCCCTCGCGAGCAAACAAGCCGCTCGCAAGCAAAACTTTCGATGCAATTTTCGCACGAGTATTCGCGCGATACGTGCACGGAGAAGAAGGAACAGGAGGAGGAGGATGCGAGGGAAGATAGAAAAGAGAAAGGAAAAAAAAAGAGAAGAAAAAATTGCTCGACGCGGGATCGGAAGCGCTAACGTACAATCGACAGGGGGTAGATTCGCGTTTACTCGATTTGAGGCAATCCAATTTCGCTAATGAAACGTACCCAGTGACGCAGTTAGCCTCAACTCGCGCGCGCACGTATGCACGCAAACTAGCTGTAATATCGTACTTCGTTGAGCGAAGGTAATCAAGCTGTAATTGATAAACATGTAATTCCGACAACATAGGCTATCGAATAGAGAAAATTACATCTATTGGCTATAAACTGCCCGCGATTTAAAACGCAATGACGCGCGTCGTGATTGTCTCCGCTCTTGCAATCAACAATGCGTCGATAAGCGTCCAAATGCCGAAACGTTTATCAAAAATTATCAATCATGGGTGGAAACAAGTTATATCGCGAAATATTATACGTCTTTCCGCAGTTAACTTCACGTATGTAAATATAATCGTCATACTTTATCCAATTTCTTCGTTTGATCGACGAAAGAAGTTTGTAAAATTATCCTCTGAATATTTTCTAAAATTAACTAATGTGATAATAGTTTATAGTTTACCTATGTGTATCAATATGTGATACAGATTATTTAATTATATGTAAGAGTGTACGAAACAAAGCATGCAGTTAAAATTAATTCAAATAAATACAGAATTCTTTATGCAGGAAATGTTAAATATCATGTTTTGCATGGTCTTATATAAATATCGTTAAACTTCTCATTATTATTCTTGATATAATGTGCATCGCAATTTAAAAACACGATGAAATGTTACGATTATAATTTTTTGATAATCAAAATAACCAATGCGTTGTACATTCTAGACATCCGACAATAGTTGCGAAACAGGCAACGGGCAACAGGATGCACGAGAGGGTGCGCTTGACGCGATAATAAATATCACGAAATATCATGGATGCGTACAGCAGCCACCAAATACTCGCGAGACCCGGATATGGGGCAAAACGGAAGTGCAGTCGTAAACTACATATATAAAGCCTACAGAGAGCAGGTCGTATCGTTGACGTGTGATGGGCTCGAAGAGAATGCATCGAACTTGATGCACCAAGTCAACGATCTGCGATAACTTGTAATTAATAACTTTTGAATATATAATCTTTGTGTATAAAATTCTGTTGTTTTGTAAATCTCTGAGAATAGATAAATACAAAAAAATTAAATTTTCAATTTTAGTATTGAAATTCGTTATAAAAATAATGATTTATTTCATCGTTCTGACTTTTTATATATCTTGAAACTTCCTTTGCGATATCCTTTTCTCTTTAGAATCCCTTTTTCACTTAAATAAAAATAATTTTTGCTTTGATAATATTTTGCTCAGAAAAAATTGATTACAATCGTTCAGAATAAGCAGATTTCGTCTGCTTCTTCTAAAATATTTCTATATTTTGACAGATATAAAATGTCAATCTTTTGCTTGAAATCTCACTGTCTGTTTCCTTCATAATATGATAAATGCACGAGTTCTCTAGATAATGCTCGTCTCGCGCCCTTCTTCACTTCGACTGGAAAATAATCTTCCGCCACGTACAAGGGAAGGGAGGCGACTGACGTTTGTAACATTACTTCGGGCGGTGTTTCAGTGGAGCTTATAGTCGCGCGTATCAGGCTCGTATCGTAAGGAAGTAGGACTCAGAGGTTGTTCGAGTAGAGTACGCCGATAAGTTAGTATTGCTCAATTATTGAGCTGGCGGCGCGGCGTGCGGAAAGTGGCCGCGGAGAGCCGCCGCGCGGCCGCACCGCCTGCGTCCAAAGTATAAAATATTTAGACGGCGGCAAAAAGTGCACGCCGGTAGTTTACGAGCGTGCAGAATCGAGGAGAGCCGTAGCCGGGATATAAGGAAAAAGAGAGAAAGGGAAATGAGAGAGTGAAATTGGAAATATAGCGCATGCTCGCATTCCAGCTGCTAATTTCCTTAACGTTTCATTTTCCCATGACGAGTACCTTATGCGGAATTACGCTACAAACCGCGACTAAATGAAGACGTTAAAATTGGCACTGTGTGTATCTACATATAAAAAAAAATTCATTGATGCATTTTATGTTTTATCATGTTTTATCATCCATGATGCGACGCAATCACATTCTATCCAGTTGTTTTTTTTTAAAGAAAATGTCTAAAAAAATGAAAAAAAAATATGTAGGTATATTTTTGTAAGAATATAAAACGTCAGCGTGCAAAAAAATGCTCCGGAAAATTCACATATTATTTTAAACGTTTCCAAATATTTTTAAGAAATATATATATATACATTTCTTCTCAACGAAACTTTATATAGATGCAAGACTTTTCGTGATTTCTACATTTTAACAATGTAATATTAAATGCGTGTTTTGGTAATAAATTAAATTTTAAAAGAAAAAAATCTGCGTTATTTAAAATGTTGATAAATTAATCTTCTTTTTCAATTATATACGAAATAATGTTATGCCCATTAAGATAAATTATCATTCAAAAATGCTTGTATTAAATAATGAGTTACATTTAAAGTAACAACAAGTAAATTTTTAGCTGGGATAATTTTGAAATTATTCCCGTGTATAATTTCGTGGAGAATCACGGCACGAATCATTTATCATCTCCACGTTTACGCTTAAAGCAGGGTAGATATTCGGCGCAGCAAAAGGAACCGCATAAACACAGTACGACAATGCGCGCATAAATCAAAGGTTGCGTAGAAGACGATATTTCTTAAGGTACGGACGGGCGCAATTTTCGCTGTTTGCAGTCTACTTACTATAAATTCGCCGACTAGGGGCATAGGATCGCGTTCAAACGATCCTCTACGAAATCGTTGGTGAACACGCAGATAATCATCGCCGTCTATATACCATGTGATGAACTACGCAACTACGTAAAACCGATACGAAGTGTAATAAGACGCGATTAATGCTGTAAAATATGCAATTTTTCTAGTATTAATTAAATTATTTTTCACAAAGAACTCACCACTCCGAAATATTAGTTTCTTTATAATATAAAAAAATTATATACAATGTGATAAAATATATTTTTACTTTGTGATTTTTGAATAATTTCTGTTAATTAAGTCACATGTGAAGAAGAATGAAATTATTTAATATATCTCATTGTACATTTCATTTATCTCGTGGAAACGAGTTTCGAAATAATCAAGACTAATAACAAGAGTTTTATTCCATTGCATTAACCAAATTGCGCACATTATACAGTAGCGAAAACATGACCGGCGCATGCAACAATATAGCGATTCCAAAAATACAAAACCGAAGCTCTCTCTCTCTCTCATTCTTTTTCCCACTTTCTCTCTCTCTCTCCGAGCTTTGCGGCAACGATGTATTCAGGAGCATCGGGTGCGCAGATATTATGCTAATATAATATCCAATGTGTCGCGCGCGAGAGCAGCCCTCTTTTCACCCCAGTATATACCGGTTTTCTGAGAAGATCGGCGAGAGAGACGAGAAGCACCGAAGAGAAACGGAGTAATGCGCACGTGCACACGTTTCACGTGTATGCGACGGAATTCGCGCACCTGCTCCCCACCAAGTTTTCGGTCTCCCTTCGGGACGTAATTTGTGAGGTTTACAGGCACAGAGGGGTCGAAGGACACACCGTAAAAGGGATTTTAGTGGGGCCATGGCACGGCGAAGGCGCCGCGGACCAACCGAATCCTGCGGCGCGTCTTCACCGAGGGATTTCCTTCTCGATCCCGATTCCCGATCCTTTGAACCGAATGGATTGGCTGGCGACCCGTCGAATCGATAGTCCTTCAGAGAGCCTGAGGATTCTCCTCACTCGGTCACTGAACCCGTATAGCCTCGTATACTCCAGATACTTTACTGACTCGCTATGGAAGTCGGAAAAAGTCAAAGATCCTCTTAAGGATGCGGTAAACGAAAGATGAGATATTAAGTATATGCGACACGTGCCACTACAAAGTTTTCATTAATAAGTTTTCATACAACATTAGTGTTTATAATAACTCGATAACTTTATCCATCATTTCGCGAATACAAAGTTGCGACTCGAAATTTTATATCATTCCTTAACTCTCTGTTATCACTTTGGTATTACGATTTCCACTGCAATGATTGCAATCAAATATTGATGTACAATATTTCTTTTGATTATCACCTATGGCGATGAAAACCTTATCGGAAGTATGCACATATCTGCAGTTATCTTTTCCAAGGAGTGGCGCAGATACTAGGAAGTCTTTCTCGCAATGACAACACCGATCGTCGCTTTTGGCGATATCATTTCAATAACTGTTTTACTACCTCAATGATAACATTAGGACAATGTCACGACATTTCCATTCGACTGTTGTTTCAATCTTTTTTATCTAGATACCTTTCTTTATCTCAAATATCAATTTTAATCAAGTTATAAATTTTAAGCTAATATCTACGAAGAATTAAACAATTGTTAAGCCATTTTTTCTCGACTTTCTTTAAATTTAATTTATTACTTATTTAGAAAAATATCTCATTTTCTCGTGCAAGACATCATTTGATAACATTAATAAATTTAGAAAAGTCTGCTATTTATAAGCATATTAATTTAATATTTTTAACTGTATTAGATTCTAAAACTTGACTGTATTAGATTGCAAAATTTGCGGCAATACGAGTGTGATCACGATTATATTGTTTGATAAAAAAAACTATAATGACCTCACAGTGTGAGTCTAAAATGAGACATTATATCAGCAATAGCCAAACAGGAAGTTGCGATCGATAAGGCCAAAAAGATGGGCGTACGGATGAGCAAATGAGTTGCTATTCGAGGGAGAATGGAAGGAGAATGGATCTGGTTACTCGACTCCTGTTTATCCATTTGAGGCAGTTACCACCCCTCGCATAGCTTCTAGCTCGGTTAGGAACACATACCTTCGGTAGAAGGGCGACAAGACGAAACCTTCCTTCACGAAATTATATTATCAGCCGGTTTCCCGTTTCTGTGTTCGTATTATGCTTCCCAATCATTTATAAACTAAATTTATATATCTCGAGTGTTTTTTCGCCGTGATCTTATCATCTCGACATTGATAAATTCATCGCTTCAAGAATATAAATAAATTATATATCGAAATTCATTTAACTAAAAATTATTACTTGAAATTCTTTAAAGTTTAAACTAAAAATAAAAAGTAAAATTTTATTTTTTTTATTAATTTGTAAAGTTTACGAATCTTAATTGAGAATCTTAATCCAGGATTTAATTGAAAATTGAAAAGTTTTAATAATGAAACAACTTTCAACTAATTTTTAGTTAAGAAAATGTATATATAGAAAAAAGAATATGTGAGTAACGTGTGTTTAATAGACATCAATATTGTATTTTTCTAAGATATTTTCGTTCAATATTAATTATGAATCATAATATGAAAAATGATTGATTTAATAAAACTCTCTCAGAACAGATTATTCGCGATCGATTAACGAAATATGTGGGTAACTTTCGTGGCGCAGTTTCCGTTAGTGAATCGACGGCAAGTCAAAACTTTCACAGCAACATGTGGAACCAATCCCGATCGATTTGCACGCGTCAATTCGACGGTGTATCATAGATTTACGCAATGACGCTGAAGGCGATTTCCTGTGTGAATCCACGATTGTTTCGCATCAAAAGCCATTATGTCCAGAGAATTTCAGAAATCTATTGCATAAATCGTGTTAATGGCAGAGCACGACCGCGATAAGAACAATAGCCCGCGATGTTTCTGCCGTCATTCACGAGGCTCTCTATCAGGACTCTTTAGATGCATGGGCTGTAAGATGGTTATGTATCCAGAATCTTGAAAGAACACGAGGGAAGAACTTGTAAGCGTCAGTTTCTCTCCTCCCATTCCTTACCTTTTCTCCTATATTTATTTATATATGTATGTATATATAACGTGCGCTGAAAATTTACTATGGTAGTATTTTGTGCTTCGAGATTATTTTGTGTTTCGGAAATACGCGTTTAACCGCAGTATGAAAAAAGGGAGACCAAAAGCAGGGATTTTCGATTACGGTACATTAAAAGCAGCCTTATTGTGGCATGCGTAATGCAATACCGTGACGTTTTAAA